AAGGTGTAATTAAAATCTCTAAAAATTAGGTCATTTGAGTCTTTTTAAATTTGTACATCTTCCCTGAAAAACTTATTCTTAATGTAACATGGAAAAACCACACAGTGGTGGTTGAAATGTAACATGTTTTGGTTTCAGGCTGTCTTTTCATATCCTAAAAATTACCACAAGCAGCCTCCCCTTTAAGTTTCAGCAGCAAGTCATGGAGGAGATTCAAGTGTGTATAATAATCAAATCCTGGTAAACAGACTTGTTGAAGCATTGAGTCAGCTATAAGCAACCAACCCAGCCCAAACACAGAAGGTAAAGAGCAAGACTTAATATTCCTTGCCTGGCAACTCGATCCATAAGCCTCTTCAAAGAAGTGACTGGGAAAGGTGTGGATGAGAGTTCAAAAAAGCATGTAAATTTCAGAAGTTATTGCAAAATGATCTAAAGTTCTCATCAGCTGGCAGGCAGTGCCAAGATTGGGTCCTGGAGCTAAGCCCACAGAGGGTGTGTTCTGTGTGGACAGCGTGGCATTAAGATGCAAGAGATAGCACCTGCGATCGGCAAGCGGCCCAGGAAGGAAAGACAGAATCTTCAAGGAGGACTTGGGCTTGCAATCTTCCCAGCATGCAGTCTCCACCCAGCTGACTCTGTCTCACTATTTGGGAAGTATAAGATTAATGGTAAGATAATATTTTGCCTTCTAGAAAGTTCTTTGTGGACCTAGAAGAAACGATGACACCATAACACCTATGAGTTGACTGATTAGCACCATTTTTGGTACCTCATCCTTGAGCTCTCCCCTTCTTCATCAGAAAATACTGCTTTGAAAGAGAGCTGCTCATTATAGTGTCCCTTCTCTTTCTATTGGATCTTTTTATCAACTTCCTCTTACTTTCTGATGCTTATTAGTATTTATGCTCAAGGAGAAACTAAATGTTCAAGCACGGCTATAAACTGGATTCTCTTTAATCAAAGAATATGATTAATCATAGAAAAGATTACAAGCGCCTGGGTAAGTCTGAATAAGAACCATTTAAATATTTGGCAATCTTAGAGGTCAAAAGAAAGGAAGCCTGGGTGATGGGCGAGACGGGCACTAGGTTTCTGGAGACGTGAGCAAGCGGCTCGGTGCGACAGGAAGCTCTGTGTCCATTCTGTGTCCAGTTCCTTGCCCAGAGGAGACAGCCACTTTTGAGGTTTAACTTTTTCAAGGGCTGGCCAAAATGAAGCCAGGGAAGCCTAGGAGCCACGCTCAGCTAGGGCGGAGCGCGGACGGAGCACCGAGGCGGGCCGCTTGATTTCACGTGATTGTTTTCTCAGCAGTGAGATGTTCCCAGTACGGTGAATGAGGAGAAAGAAGCCATTTTAGCTGAGCCAGATAAAGTGAAGGTGACATTTTATGGGACGGTCTGAAGACCAAAGGATTTTCTGTTGTCATAAAACTGCGTTACAGCAGCTCGTTGTTGAGAAGGCGTGACGTGAGCTCTAGAGACCTTTTGAAGCGGCAGCCTGAGAGGAGTGTGCCCTTTCCCGAGCGTCCCTCCGGCCGGTGCTTTCTTCCCAAACCAATCTAGAACTTGGAGTGTGCCAGACTGGCCAGGGCACCCCCTTCTGCCTTCCCAGCCAACCCAGCTCCCCCTTCAGCTTAGCTCTTAAGAGTTGTGACTAGCAGGGGAGAACCATTTCCGGTCAAATTTCATTTTCCAGAGCGCAAACCCCACTAACAAGGGCAGCTGGCAGTGCGGGTGAGGCAGGGACTGAGCTGCTGGCCGACTGGGGGTCAGGGAGCTTCGCGCCACTGTGACGCTCAGTCGGAGTGCCAGGACCTATGCGATGAATACCCATCCAAGTTGTTTCATTTCTAAAAGTGGCAACGACACCTACAGTCTCAGGTGACCTAGCTTTGAGAACAGAGGCCACTGTTCGGGCCACTACCTTCGAGTGAAAGCCGAGGCCACCACCTTCAGAACCTACCATTCTTGACCTCCTAAGAATTCACCTAGAAACCCCACACACTGTACAAGGTATCCACTGGAAGTTTGTTTACCTTTGCTTTAATGACTTAACAGAAAAAAACTGCATGATGAAATAGATTTTCTCCAAATATATATATATTTATATAATATATAATCTTAGTTAACTCAAAGGTATATACATTGTATAATAAATAATATTTATAAAAAGAGACTTTTTGAATATAAAATCAAAAAGATCAACAACTTCTACAACTTTTTACAAAACTTTGGATACAGCAGGTTGGTAGGAAATTTCTGTTGGATACTATTACCTGACTACAGCAATAATTACAATGCACTCAACGTACTATTATTAAATAATTACTTGTCAGCTACTTGAATACGCCCCAGAAACATGACTTTAGCACGTTTAATATAGAATACATAGATATGAAAAGACTGTTTGAAAAATTTGTATCCGTTTTGCTGAAATAATTCTCACATAAAGCAAGCATTATGCGGTTGACAGGATGGAAAACTTCTCAGTCTATGGTGAGGCAGGGAGGGGCGGCTGGCCTCCAGACCCTCGTCTTGGCAAGCCAGGCAGAAGATCGCTTGACCTGGTGTGTCTTAGGCCAGGGAGAGACAAGCAGAGACCTCTGTCCTGTTGTGCCCCTGGCCGGTCTCTTCTTTCTGATGATTCTCCTGAAGCCAGAGCTGTTGGGTGATCAATACTGTCAGGTCCGTTTGCTTCCATTTCACCGGCTTCATCTAGGACCCTCTAGAGAACCGGTGAGGCGTGAGGAGAACAGCTCTGAGAGTTCCCCCAGGGAGCAGAGACGCGCTTGCCTGCCTTTCGGGGCCTAGTCCTGGCGCTGGCACCTGCTTGGGCGATGCCCTCTCAGCATCCAGGGAGGCCGGGAGGTCTGTGTTAAACATCTCTCACAGAGCAGAGAAAAAGGATGCAGGAAGGGTGTCCTTACAGGAGAGGAAAGGGAGCGTCATGTTTGGCCTCCCTCCAGCAGTCCATAAGATTCAGGACCAGGTCGTGCTCACTGACTAAGGTCACCTGGGGCCACCCTGCTCTACCTGGAGCTATCTTTGTGAAGAATCTGCAGGTAGCAGGGCTGGGGGGGAATAAAAGTTCCCTTCCGAAGATAGCACTTCTTTCTTCAGGCAGCCCCTGGGGCCAGGGAAGGCTCACACCCTGCCCCCCATACCTAACCTATTTACAACAGCCACTACCAGAAAATTCGCCAAGTTAATGGCGGGCAATGCAGCATGCCAGAGGAAGGTTTTGCGAGCCAACTGCAGGTCACAAGAGCCTCTCGTGTTAGGACAGGGTCACAGAGAAAACGAGACTGAGAAGAACACTCGGCTGCTCTTCAGACAGCTTCCCGGGTCCCCTAGAACTCAGTCCTGCTGCTCGGACACTCGCTTCGGGCCTCCCTGCCACTCCATCCTAACTAGACCTATGGCTTTTCTCAGAACGTGAAGCGGATCAGGCTCGCGTGGAGTGGACAGACGAGGAGACGGCAGGGCCTGTCCCACTTCCTCACTCCCACCACACGGCATCCTGGAGCGTCCCCAGAAGAGGCGGCTTGCAACCAGAACCTGCCAGCCTGACTCTTCCCACCGGGCAGAGAGCTCACATCAGCCCAGCCTGCTCTGCTGGAGCAGATTTTTTTCCACTTTTATTTTCTTTAACATGTGCAAAGATAAGCCTCGGGTCTGTTCCTACCAGACCCTAGAGAACTAAAAAGAGAGCCCCTTCTTTATACACCACACACCATCCAGAGTAGGGTGAGAAACGGAAGATGAGAGAGAGGGCGGGAGCCTGCCGGTCAGCGGGCGCTTGGGTCCAGGTCATTTACCACACGTGCATCTGGCAACAGTCCGGTTCCTGGCTGTCGGCTGCCGAGGGCCGAGCCCGGCTCTGGGTCCTGCTTCCTGCAGGGCTTCGGTGAGTCTGCCTGGCCACACACTTCACCTGTTCCCAGAGCCCTTGGAGAAAACAAAGGGGAATAATTAGAACCCCGATTCCTTGCCCTGAGGGGCCATCCATCAGGTGCAGAGGTCAGAGGTTGCCACAGGTGACCCCAACACTCCTTGTACTTGAAGGTAATGGGGAGCCAGTGGCTCCCCGCGCTCCCCTGGGCGCTGGGGTCCGCCACAAGGCAGCCAGGCCGTGAACAGGAACGTTCTGGCTTCAGTGTCTGCAGACGGATCCGGACTCCACTCTCCCACCTAGCCGGGGACTCAGGCAAGGGCGTCCGCCCTTGCATGGGACACTGCCCGCCAGACGCCCGGGGCAGCCCAGCCCGGCCAGGGCCCAGGCCCGGCCCTGCAGTGTTGCTTCGAGCAGGGAAGTTGGTGACGAGCTGTCGGGACAGGAGGTCGCTCTCTTTAATCCACCATAACTCCTTCCCGGGAGCCCCACGGCGCCCCAGTATTTACACCTCCTGGGGAGCCGAGGCCTACAGCCCTCTCACAGCTACCTCTCGCCGTGCTGCGGGGCTGGTGTGAGTCTGCACAGAGCAGAAACGAGGCTCAGCACAATTACAGGGCTGTGTCCCGGGCCAGGTTAGGGCCAGGTCCAGCACGGGGTGGGCAAGCTCTCAAACGCTGCCATCTTGCCAGCAGAGGGTCAGTGTGGGTGGAAGGATGAGAGGGCTGACCAGGTGTCAGCCTGTGTGTCCAGACCAAGCAGCACATGGAGGGGGGCAGCTCCCACAGCCCAGTTCCACTCGGCCTGGAGCGCGGCTGCCTCCCCTCGGCCCCTGGGTCCACGCCTCCCGTCCTCGCGAGCTCCTGCGGGACACGGCGCCTGTGCCCGGGGAAACCGGGGCTCAGAGAGGCCAAGAGCCTGCCCCAGACCCCCCAGCCCTGTGAGTGTTTATCCAAGGACACCAGGTTGGGAGAGAACCCAGCCAGCCTTCCCTGCCCTGAGTTCAAAGTGGAGGCAGCGTGACGCTGGCCCAGACAGAGACATCAGCCTCCTGGGTCAGGTTTTCTTCAGCCTCCTGGGTCAGTCCCTGGTTTAACAGTGAGAAAAGCAAGCTCCACACTTCATACAGGAGACTGGGGGCACGATCCTCCTGGATGTGGCACCGAGCCGGGTCTGTCACATGTTACATAAGATTGGGGGAAATACAGCCTCAGCAATAAGGAGAGAAGAGGACTGACGAAGAGTTTGTAATTTGGGGGCCTCTCTGGTGGCGCAGGGGTTAAAGTCTCAGCGCCAGGAAGCTAGCCACAGCCACTGTGGCAGGAGTTCAATCCCCAGCCAGGGAGCTGACCCACAGGGCACAGCGGACCTCTCCTGGGCCCTCGTTGCTCCCCTCAGCCGTGTATTTCAGTCCACCTGCCTGTTCTGCTCCCCGCTCTGTCTCTGGAAGGCATCAGTGCTGAAACTGACCTGGGGTCACAGGTGGATTTGCCAGATACCCAGGGCACCCAGCACTTCCTTCCCTCTGGGCCAGTGGCTTATCCAACTGCCCACCCAGAGGCCTGGGACTGGACTCTGCCGCTGCCTGCTAGAATCACCCAGGGGCCCGGGGAGGAAACCACCTCTTCCTGGAGGCGGAGACCAGGGTTCGGCGTCCCGGGCTGGGCCGATGGCTCCTCAGGCCCTGTCCAGGGTTCCCACTCTGAAGCTGGTCCCGCAGGGCATGGCCAGAGCTGTGTCCTGCTGCAGTGCGGGCCCTGTGCTGCGTCTCCCCCCGTGCGGCGGAGAGATGCGGCCAGAGCCCTTCCCAGCGCTCCCGCCACCAGGACGGCCGCAGGTCCTGTGGCTCCGCCTTTTCACCGCCGTTTTGAAAAGTGCTAAATGAAACTGCCCAGTGCCCAGTGAGGAGACCGTCTAGTGGGTGACCCCGCGTCACGGCTCCCTGGACGAAGTCAGCAGAGACTGCTTGGCGCCGTCAGCCCCGGCAGTGTCCGGGTGAGGAAGCCGGGCCTCCCAGGCGGCTGGCCGGTGAGGGAGGGGCTGGGCCATCTCTGACCTCCCTCTTCTCGCCACAATGCCTGCAGGCAGACCCCGAAGGCATCACGGGGGGGGGGCGTGCCCTGGGGGGCGAGGTGACACCCTCCAGCATGTGCCACCTTCCTCCCCCCCCATACCTCAGAGAGGCCCTGTGCTGCCCCAGCCAGCAATGACCAGCCAGGCACGTCCTAGCGTGGCCCAAGTTCTTGCACTCATTCCTGACAGCACCCCAGGGGGGTGGGGGGGCAGGTGTGGGTCCCATGGTTGGTGATCGGGGAGGAGAGAGCTGGCCAGGCTCAAGCCTGCATAGACCAGGCACCCTCCCGGGGCAGGCACGGGCAGCCAGGCCCCAAGCCTTCCACCTTCAAGACTCCAGGACCGCCTCACTTCAACCTTGACCTGTCCCGAGGGCCTGTGGCTACAGGGCCAGTCACAGTGTCTCCCACGCAGGCCATCTCTGGGAAGCTTGGGAACAGAACCCAGCGGCCTTTGATGCCTTGATTACTCACCGCCAGCACTCTGAACTCGGGTCCCTCCTCCTCCCCATCTCCATCCATAAACTGGGTGAGAGCGCGCCCCACTCCACCCAAGCTTCAGATCTGGCAGGATATGGGCTTATACACCGCTTCCCCCCACCCACCTCCTTGAGGTGGTAGGATTTATGCCTGTGCAAAAACTTGCCCTCTGAGTTCAAGGTGGAGGCAAAATGACTCTGCCCCGGGGTAGAAGAGACTTTCCACCCTCCTGTTTCAAGTATTCAAACCCTCTGGTTTTACAGGGAAAAGGCTGAGGCCCAGAAAAATAAAAGAACAGGAAGTGGAGGCAGAGTCGGGCCCAGACTCGGGGGTCCCGGCCTCCAGCCTTACAGCAGCCGCCCCTCT